CGTTGAGCAGCAACGTTTAACAGAGCAAAGCTCCTACTTAAGGGTTTTTTCTCTCAGCAAAATGATGACATCACAAGGGATCAAAGGCATTCTACTTTGGATCAAAGGCATTCTATTTTTGTTCAATTGCATTCTATTTTTTCAGTTGAAACACTGGAAAAAAAATAGTGTTTCAACAGGGCAGGCTGGCGCCCTGTGGGAGGCAGAGGTGATAGGGTAAGGATGCAGAGGATAAGAAAAGATCTTATCTATCAGCTCATCAGCGAGCAGCCGCAGAATCACAGGTGCAGCTTGGCAGGGGATGGAGAGTGAAGACAAAATCAACAATGACTTATGGCAGGGGTGTCAAACTCAAATACACAGTGGGCCAAAATTCAAAACTGGAACAAAGTCGCGGGCTAACATTAATATTTATTGGGAAAAACAAATCTTCCTCCAGATATAAGAATGAATCTTTTCTTATGGACTCAAATAAGTTTTGCTGGAAAACTGAATATGGAACAAGCAAAGCTTAATACTAAACAATATATATATTAGCTGTATAATACCAGAAGGCCAGCTCTAATAGTAATTTGGTATGGCTTCGCGGGCCAAATGTAATTAGGCTGCGGGCCAAATTTGGCCCGCGGGCCAGAGTTTGACACCTATGTATTAGGACAACCCAAACATGACAGTCGGACCTCCAGCACTCCAATTATACTAGGAGAGTTTAAGAAAGAGTTGACTGAGGTTAGAGGAAGTATGAAATCAAGACCAAATAAAGTGACTGGATCACACCGATTGAATTAGTCATCCCATTACAGCTAGGATTTAGAAATCACTTTCACTTCTAATCTAGCAAAGCACTGTCTGAATACAGAGTTGTATCACAGGAGGCTGTAACACAGCCCAAGCCAATATAAGCTTTACCAAGACAGCAAGTTGCTGTCGCTCGCCTCAACCTCAAACACACTGCAGTTGAAGCGAAAGGTGTTATCTTGTATTTTTCCTTTTGTCAACAAATGCCATGAAAGACCAAAGTTATATGTGTCTGTGAATAGTTTGTGACTTTCCTGTGACCTCAGTCAGAAGAATCTGTCTTGATCCTACTAGGGTACAATATGTTCCAACAGTCTACTATCTTTTTAACTGGGTCAAAACAAGCAAGCAAGCAACCCAAAGGATCTAAAAGAAGCAGTCAGCTGGATTATCTGCAGACTCTAAATGAACAAACAGCTCAGGAAAGTCGACGCTGTTAAAAATAAATAAATAAATAAATCAGGTGGTGTTGGAAATAAACTAGCAGCAGAATTTACTTTGTTTACCAATCCACTGGCCTAGAAATTTGCCATACATGCGATTAGAGCCCTCCACACTCACCCTGTGTTCCACAGTACTTACATCAACCATACAAAGCCAGATTCTGCAGTAAGACCACAGCACCGTCTGTGTAAAACTATCAACTCTAGATCACTGTGGTCACTGCTGTTTTCAGTATTTCTCAGACAAGAGTGAGCCATTTAGAACCACATGCACATGCAGATTAAGACATAATCAATTATGACAGTAACACATTATTAAAAAGGGCAAGCAATAGCAAAGTTAACCCTTAGATACTGTTCGGGTCAAATCTAACCAGTTTTGACATGCGACAGCAGTAAAAATGCCCTAAATTCATTATTTTAAAGTTAACCAGAAAAAGTAGCCACAACATGTAAGAATAAAAATTATTCTGAGCTAAATGAGGTTAAACACATGGGAATGCCATACATGCAAGCATTCCTCCCACTACTAATAGTGCAAATATAATTAAATCATTAGGGCTGGTTTTCATGTTTTTCCTCCCAAAATGAGTGTTGTAAGACATAAAAATACACTTTCCATTTATCATCTATTTATTAAATGTCATACATTCTAAATTCATGTGTCCGACAGACAGGTATGTATCCATTGTATAATGATATGTAGTTTAAAATTTGTTATTAGGGAATTCTTGGCCCAAGTCAAGACTGTACCAGACCAGACCATGAAGACATAGTTCCTGATATTTGTTAATCCTTTGGGAGGAGGTATTAGGGCTTTTGGTGCTGATCTGTGTACCTGCTGCCTTCTGTCTATACCTTTAAATTAGATCAAATGATAAACCTCATAAGAAAGCAACAGATCCTTTATGAGTAACTATACTGCTTCAAAATGGGAAATTAAATACAAGGAAGAATGATCTCATTTTAGAGTTCATGTACCAATTCAATATTTGCTCCATCTTTTGGTTTGTTCATACATTTTTGTAGCACACCTTTTATTTCACCAGTTGAAGTTTTTATCATGCACATTTCACCAAGATGGATTTTCCCACCTTCTTTGATTATTTTAAATATTATTTCAAGCAATATGTCCTCTGTTTTTAAAAATTGAAAAAGTATTTTACCATTTTTAAATGGCTGAATTTGAGGAGAAGGTGGTGCATTATATCCTCAATATATCCTGTGCTTGAGTGGTGACTCATAGCATACGGAGCCTCTATCTGCATCTGTTTTTCACAACTGAAAAAAATATCAGGTTACTTTTCAAAATCAAGTGCTGGAGGGAAATAAGGTGACAGACGAGAGCCAGAGGCAGCAGAGGAAGAGGTCAGTGTCCCTCTTCAGTCTAACGTCAGAGCAGAGCTTAACAACAATTTCGAGATGTTCTGAAAATAATGGAAGCTGATTACACACATTAGCAGGATCTTGGTCAGAGGCCAAATCTGTACTCTGCTAGTCTTTCTCTTAGGGGAAACTAAAGCACCGATATGTAAAATTATTTAAAATGACTGCAGTCATTAAATATTCACCAGCACACTGCACATTTGCACCAGCGAGGGAAACAGGGCTTCACAGCGGACTACCAGAATACTAACACTTCTTTTTCCCTCAGTACTGGCTTTACATAACAGAGACATAAAACAAAAGAAAAACAACAAATTCAACCTAAAATGTGACCGGACAGAAGAAGTGCCCCATGCTATCTCTTTTATATGGGGTAAGAGACTGGAGTCAGTCATCCTGTTCAGGTTATATGAAGGTAATTATGCAGGGAACATCACTGACATCAGTGCTCTATTGACAAAGAGCACTCCTGCTGATTAGCCATGTAAAATCACTGTAATTAAAAGCTAATGAGAAAGAGCATCCCTGATGGACAACTCTTAAGGACATAAACTTACGGTATGCCTACTGACACAAAAGAAAACCCATTGAACTTTGAACACAATGAAGTTAGAGACACAAAGTCTCATACCTGTACTGACACATGAAGACAAGCAGTCATTTCTCATAAACTCACCGCGTGCCGTCGGCTTTCCAGCTGACTTTGTATGGATTCTGCTCGAGGAAACGCAAATTTTGCCTGTCCATGGACACAGGCTGCGCACCAGGAAAACCAGACCTGCAAAAACAGCAACAACAGCCCTTACATGTGTGCCTGATCTTGAGCCTGGCTCTAAACACAGCTTAGAAGATTTTTGGTTGGCTGTTTCGGTAAGCTTACGAAATATCATATTTATTCCATTCAGGATCTTCTATTAATGATCAGGGAGTCAAGTCTTTTCTAGCACATCCCAAAGATATTCAGTGGGGTTAAAAATGATGTCTCATGCTCTCTGAACGAGTCCTTTGCAATTTAAATCCTGACATCATCACCTTGGACTATGCCTGTGCCATCGGGAAGGGGGGGAGAAAAATCCGAGCAAAATTGGTGGTTCAGTATATCCAGGTAGTCAGCTGTCCTAATTTCTTTTGGGCTTAACCTCGACCTGACTAACCCCAGATCATAACACCACCATGCACAGGCTTGTATGGTAGGCACAAGACATGATGGGTGCATGTTTAAATATTTAAGCTCACTAGTAAACTGAAGCCTTTTTTGATTTAGCTTCAGTTTTGTATATTTTTAAGCTGCGCTGCCGTTTAGTGCCAATCCTTCTTTGCAGAATGCATGCGAAAATACTATCCCATTTCTTCACTCTCAAACATAGTCATACGTTTTACTATTGGTGCTTATGATGACATGATTTCAAACTCTTAAATCCTCTCCAACCACATAATGCCTTGGAGAGTTCTTGAGCCCATTTTAGTAGTTTCAGCAATATCCTTGTTGTTTTGGTTTTGTTTTGTTTGCTTGAAGCAAACCAATAATTAGACTCTTCTGAAAGGAGATATCACATGGTTGTGAAAACAATGTCTTAATACACGGTTGTTTAGAAAGCGAATCATTGCATCAGTTAGGGTTACATCACCTGTTGCCAGCCAAAACATGAATCACTGAAGGAGTCACCCAGAGGAAGCCTCTTACCTTTGCCTAATTACAGTGGTGACCTTTTTTGGCCAGGCAGTGTAGTATGCATACATATGATAGGATACCAACAGGCAGCTGGCAAACCTAATAGTTCTCTCATCAGTTTAAAAAGAACAAGCTGATAATTGAAAATACATCTGAACTATTTGTCTTGAATATTCAATATATTAAAGCTGGGATGCAACACTGACATATAACCTCTGACAGAGTCAGTCAAATCTATTGTTTAACTCAAGACCATTGGAAGGCATTTTTAAAGAGTTTTTGTGCACACACACACACACAGGTTCCCAAAAACAAATATAATCTCTGCAAAAGTAACTGGATGCATTAAAGAAACACCTCTCAGACGCTTGACTTTGTGGCTTCATAGTCATAACATAGTTTATGACACCTAGTGCACTAAGAGAACAACAACTAACTTTGGCGCTACACACTGAAAAACATCCTAAACTATAAATATGTGAGGATTTTAGTATATTAGCAAACAAATATATAACAAAAACAATTTTAACAGCAGGCCATGGAAATTGCAGCATGGGCTGTTTTCTTGCGCTGTCACAAGCCACTGCAGTCGAGCTGATGCTCTGCAATTTCATTAAAAAAGCTGCAGCGGCATATTTCTCCAGAATAGCAACATCTATTCCTGACTTTGCCGCCTGTCAGAGAGTGTAAAGATTTTTTTCTCTGGAAAAAAAGGTGATTTAAGACAAATGAGTCACTCATAGCACAGTACAGTACACCCACACATGTGTAAACAGACACACACACTTTCCCAGAGGAAAATAAGAAAGGTAAAAGGAAGGTTCTTACTTGTCCCACTCGGCCATCTCCTGGCACATTCTTTGGATCTCGCCTAACTTGGGTTGTATGGTGACCTGTGTGACGCCTTTCACATTGACACCTTCAAGAAATACTGCACCCTGGGAAGATAAATGACGAAAAGCAGAAGGCTAAACTTGGAATGAATTTTAAGAAACATTTATTCCCTCCTACACAGAGAAGAAAAACACATTGAGTGCCGGTGATACTTTTCCAAACAGCTGCCTCTTTGTTTTATGAATCCCTGTGCAAGACAACAGGTACAAATATTAAAAATCCTGCTTTCACTCCTCTCTATTTTGAATGTTATTTTCACTTTAATTATTTCAAGAATCCACATCTCACTCTGGATCAACCCTCTTTTCCCAGTATGAGTGATGGAAACAGATGCAGGGTTTTTCCTGGCTCAAAGTAAGCCTGTGGGGGTTGATTACACACGCAAGCACAAGTGTTCTGCATAAAGATATGGCAAAAGGTCTGTGTTACCTTATTTATGAGAAATCTGCAATTCCCGGTTATTTCTAGGCAAATCGTGAACAAAATGCTTGATATCACATAACCATGTGATGATGAAGATTTGTGCTACACGCTTTAATAAATAGGAAATACTATTTAATATACTAATAAATTATAAATTATGATTTCTGTTCTGTAGTCTGACAACACAGTATCCAAGGACCTATCAAGAAACTGAAGGGTAAAAATACAAATATAAAGGAAAATATTTATTTATTAGTATTATTATTTAATGTGCACGTTTTTCACTTTAGCTCAGTTGCTCATACATAACTTTTCACCTTGTGTATGAGCTTCTCCCTGTATAAAGCTAATTACTCACCTTTAAATCTAGGAGGGACAATGTGCATTTCATATTAGGGCTACTGCACATATACATATATTTATCATCTATTCTAGACTCTTGATACGTTCACACCAGATGATCTTCCAATGGCCCTGTAAAGGTGAAGTGAATCAGAGTACAGGACATCAGAAACTAAAGTTAAATCAGCATTTTAAAAAAAAAAAAATGTTGTTTAATATCATATATAATAGTCATGTGTTTATAAGATCTTGCCTTCTTTCTCCTTTATTTTGCTTTGGTACCTCTGTGCTCTCCTCATTTCTTCTAAGGCTCTTCCAATAATAATAATAATGTGTGTGTTAGTCCCCATAGGGAAATTACTCCTCTGCATTTAACCCATTCACCCAGTGAAGCAGTGGGCAGCCACCAATGCAGCGGCCGGAGAGCAGTGTGTAGGGACAGTATCTTGCTCAGGGTAGCCGTTCAGTGGAGTCAAACCCCCGACCTTCCGATCATGGGGCAACCACTCTACCTACTGAGCTATCCCTGCCCCCCCACCCAAAAAAATTAAACAATTAAAAGGAAGTTCTTCTATTAGGGAACACCAGTTTGCTGGGGCATTCACATAAATACTGTCTTTACATTACAACAAGTTTCTTAAGACAACTACTTCTAGGCAGATTTCTTGTAGGACAAGTAATTTTTTCCCTTGTTGTCTCCTGACTGGCCCTGTAAGTATGATGTACCAGGCAGCTCTGCTCTCGATTGGTCAAAGTAAGCCTGTAATGGACAGATGGTTAATATGGTCCAATATTTTGCCATATATATTATTTTATTTTTAGTGTCTGCCTTTTTTTTACCCACACTGTTCCCAAAGATAACTTCCCAGATGGGTCTGTGTAAAAAACCATCTGCGCGTCAGGTTAGACAAGATGTCTCATATTTCACACAAAAAAGTCTCTGCGAAAGTTGTTTGAATTTCTGATTGGGTAAAAGGAATTTAAAAACAGCCTTTTAAATGGTTAAAAATCCAATCAAGTCCAAAACAAAGAAAAATAAGTGAAGCACATTTGAGTTGATGAAGACTTTCAATTGGACTGGACACAAAGTTAATTCCACTTCTTTCACTCATTGATTAAGTTTGAGCTACAATTGGAAAATTATTTGATTTGAGCTCATTTTTATATTTGCCAGAACAAACACTTGTTCATTCTGGCAAAGATTTGTAGGTTTGTAACACCCTGCTATCAGACACAAAACTTACTTTATAATACTTTATACTAGGGAGTAAGCAAACATTCTAGCGAGGTCTAGCAAGTCAGGACATGTTGTATGGTTTCAGAAGAATTTGCCGGTATAATTTGCATATTGTGAAGATTTAACTCTTTGAGATAAAGACGCTACAATAATACAGAGAAAACCCCAACAATCAAATCGCCTCGCCTTTGAGCAAGCACTTTGGCGACAGTGGGAAGGAAAAACTCTCTTTTAACAGGAAGAAACCTCCATTAGCACCAGGCTCAGAGGCATTAGTCTGCCGCAACTGGTTGGAAGCGTTAAGAAGTTGTCAAAATACAGTGGTAAAAAAAATTTAGTAAAAACAATCAGACTGTAATGCAAAAACTGTGTAGTAATATGTAAAAGAAACAAAATCATGACATTTGTTTGACTTTTTAATTTTACCAACAGCAGTAGATTGTTTTTGATCCAAACTGGTCCAAAGGATCACCTCAATATCTCGTCCAGCGAATAGAGAAGTAAGTAGCAACTATACATAGATTAATTTATTCTGTCATATCATTGATTGTAGCATTGATCATTTGTTCCTTCCACTGTGGTCATTTTATGATGTCTGCCTGGCTGTGAGATATTAAATGACTTGTGCTTTGGGAGACTTTGGACAGCTGGCCAGA